AAATTAACACAACATTGAAAACCACCTATATGTAAATAAAATAAAATTTTAAAAAAGCACAGGGAACTGTATTCAGTATCTTATAATAACCTGTAATGGAAAAGAATTGAAAAAAGGCACATATATACGTATAAGTGAATCACTTTGCTGTACATCTGAAACTAACACAATATTGTAAACCAACGATACTTCAATTCAAAAAAGCAAGCAGGGAAGGCAGAAAACCTGGGCAAGATGCAGCTATTAGGCAGAGGAGAGGGCTCCTGTCTGACTCTATCATGTCTGTGAAGCATGAGGCAAGCTCACCTGCTTAGAGTGAAGGATGAGAAGGGGACAAAGGAAGAAGATTGAAAAATCATCCTTGTAGAGTGTGGGGGATTGAATACAGCAGGAAAATACAGTAGGAAGGCTAGGCAGGACTGAGGATGCAGTTGAAATTCATGGACATCAACTTAAAGTGACATCTGCCAGTTTTAATTTTCCAGCAATATTCAGATATTCCGATACAGGTAAAGAGTAGGGGAAGAGCTGGGTTTAACTAGAGCTGGGCAAGCTAGAAGAAAAGAGAGGGGCAAAGGGGTTATGGGGTTTTGCAAGGAAGTGAGTATATTGATTATGACTGAGTGGGTGAGGAGGGAAGTGAGTACCAGTGGGAAAATAAATGCAAAAATCTGGCAGAGTCAAAAGGTTTGCAGGTCTGGATGAGGTTGAAGAAATGCTTGTGTGTGATACTGCAGTAAAGGTGTTAAAGTCAGATTTGAGATTTTGTGATTGTGTTTTCTGAGATAGTGCAATTCCTGGTGAGAATAAGTCCGCTTTAAGACCATGGGAGTGGGTATTTGGGGGCGGGGGAACTCAATGGTGGGGAAGAAATCGGTGAGAAGTCAATAAGATTTCTCGTGAAAGGGAACCCTCCTACACTGTTGGTGGTAATGTAAATTGGTGCAGCCATTATGGAAAAAAGTATGGAGGTTCCTTCAAAAACTAAAACTAGAATTACCATATGATCCAGCCATCCCACTCCTGGGCATATATCCAAAGAAAACTGTGATTTGAAAAGATACATGCACCCCAATGTTCATAGCAGCACTATTCACAAAAGCCAAGACATGGAAGCAACATAAATGTCCATCGACAGATGAATGGATAAAGAAGATCTGGTACACACACACACACACACACACACACACACACACACGAGTATTATTCAGCCATCAAAAAGAACAAGGGACTTCCCAGGCAGTCCAGTGGTTAAGACTCTGCACTTCCACTGCAGGGGGCTCGGGTTCGATCCCTGGTCGGGGAACTAAGATCTCACATGCTGTGTGGCGCGGCCAAAACAAGAGAACAAAAATAATGTCATTTGCAGCAGCAATATGGATGGACCTAGAGATTATCCTACGAAGTGAAGTAAGTCAGACAGAGGAAGACAAATGCCATGTGATGTCACTTGTATGTGGAATCTAAAATATGATACAAATGAACTTATTTACAATAGAAATAGACTCACAGAGAAAACAAACTCATGGTTACCAAAAGGGAAAGGGGTGCAGAGATAAACTAGGAGTTTGGGGTTAGCAGATACAAACTACTATATATAAAATAAACAACAAGCTCCTACTGTATAGCACAGGGAACTACATTCAATATCTTGTAATAAACTCTAATGAAAAAGAATACCTATGTGTATAACTAAATCACTTTGATGTGTATAACTAAATCACTTTGCTGTACTCCAGAAACTAACACAACATTGTAAATCAACTATACTTCAATTAAAAATAAAGAAAAAAATAAGATATCTCATGGATTATGCTTGCGGATGCTCAAGTCATAAAGTAAGGTGCGGGAGGTGAGGTGGAGGTCAGTTCATGAGAAAAAGGAGGGGTGGCAGGTTGAAAAATATGATAGTATGAACTTCAAGGAGATTAGGTTTTGGAAAGAGGAAAGAAGAAACAGTACTAAAAGTATTAATGGCGTTTGCCTCCTACCCACAGGCTCTCAAAGGCAGCTGTGTTTAATGCCACGTGCCCCCATGTTCACAGCAGCAGTTGACTGGTCAAGGGGTGGGATCTGACCTGTGGGCAGCCAATCTGTGGGCTGGCCCGTGACCTGTCCAATGAGATGTCATCATTAAAGATGAGATAACTGGATTCTGTCTTGGGATTTGAACTATGAAACACAAAAGAATCTGCCAGTTAATAGAATGAGCTGATGCAGAGAATAAAGGAGGGACAAAGGTCACCAGGATGAATCCCATGCAGGCTGAAATGTTGAGGGAATAGGGCTATAAGCAAGCTGAGGATGCCAGACAGTCAAGAATGCAGCAGATGCATCAAAAGCAGCAGAAATGCGGATGTGTGAGAGAGATGGAGTAACCTGTCTCTGAGTTCTGGGTTGGCTCCTGAGCCCGCTTATTATGTGGGAACTTAATTTTTAAAGGTTTTTGAGGAGGGGAGCGACATAATCAGGCCTGGGGTTATGAGTGTGGGCTCTGGTCCCAGACTGCCTGGCTTTGAAAAAATTAGCTGTGTGATCTCAGGCAGGTTACTTAACCTCTCTGTGCCTCAGTTTCCTCATCTGTAAAATAGAAATAACAGCACTGCCCTCATAGGGGTGTAAGGAGGATTAAATGAGAAAATACAGGTAATGCATTTTGAATAGCAAGGCTTCCTTTCAATCTTATTTTCTTCAATTAAACAGTTCAAATGTCACTTCTTTCACAAAACTTTCCTTCCTGCTTTTATCTCTTAGCTTCCAGGAGGGACACCACCTTCTCGTGGTCTTCTTCCCTCCTCCTAGGTCACTACTCCTTCTCAGGCTCCTTGCTGGTTCCTCTTTCTCTTCTTGACCTCTTCTCTCTACGTTGATCTCCCAAGTGAGCTCACCTAGGTGTCTCGTGCTTTTAAGTACCTCAAAATATCATTTATTAGCTGACAGTTCTCATAAATTATCACCAACTCCAAACTTTCATATCTGATTACTTGACATCTCTATTTAAAAATCTCCAAAAGACATCTCAAACATAACTTGCCCCAAACTGACTGTTACCAGCTCCTGCCCCTACAATCTTCCACAGATCGATAAATGGCAAATCCTTCCAGTGCTGATGGCGCTAAAATTCTTAGCATCATCCGACTCCTTTCTTCTTCTCATGCCCACTAAGCATCTACGTCTCTCTGCTGTGTGACCTTGGTTTTACCTCCCTGGGCCTCTGAGGATTAAACGAGTTATTATTTGTAAAGTGCATAACAACATCCATCACATAGAAAGCCTCATATAAGTGCTTTTGAAATGAATAAAAAATGCCTTCAATACAGAAAGAGCTTCCTAACGGCCCTAGTCCCCCTACAGTCCATTCAGAACACAGCAATCTCCTGATCCTTTGAAAGGCCAGGCCAGATCCTGTCACTGCTCTGCACCTCTTTGACCTCAGCTCCTGGGGCTCTCCCCTTGCTCAGTCTGGGCCAGCCACCTCTGTGCCTCCTTGTGCCACCAACACACCAGGAACTGTCCCCATTGGATCTTCGCCCCTGTTGTTCCTTGTGCCTCCCTCTGATCAAATGTTAGTTCTCTGCTGGCCCCACTTTGCTAATCTGCCTGCCCGTTCCCTCACTCTGATTTTTCCTCCCCATCTCTATTTTTACTTAGTAGCTGGTTGTCTCCCCTCCCCGGGTTCAAACTCTGCAACAACACGGATGGTCCTGTTCATTGCTCTATCCCTAGAGCCTAGAACAGTGCTTGGTACACAGTAGATGCTCAATAAATACTTACCAAGTGAAAATTCCAAAGTGCCACGCCCTTTTCTGAATTCCCGTAATACAGGTCTGAATCATTCTTGTGGTACTTACCTGTATCGTTTTTTATGCCGGTGGCAGCTTTTACCTGACTATGAGCTACCTGAAGACGGGGGCCTAGGACATGGCCTGGCTCGTGGTGCTCATTCCTGTCCTTTGTGCAATACTTTATACAGTTTACAATCCCCTCACGGGTGACCTGATTTGAATCTCACAAAAGAGAGAGAGAGAGCAAACTAGGGAAGGCAGTTATTATTAGCAGGGCTAGCATCCCAGGCCTCCTGCCTTCTAGACCAAGCTTAACAAATATTTGTTGAATGAAGAGAAAAAAAATTTTCTGAGTCACTCTGTGGAATGAGGCAGCCCCACTCGGCAAATGGGAGGGTTCTCTGTAGCACCTGTAAAAATACTCTTAATATCTAACATTTATTGCGCCAGGTTTTCTCATTTCTACCTGTGTGGTCCTCACAGCATTCCCGTAGCGGGTAGCTGTGAGAGCATCTTTATGTCCTGTCCTGTTCACCTCTGTTATCTTTGGTGCCTCAAACAAGGCCTGGTATGTGGTAGGTGCTCAGTGAGTGATGTGGGCCGAGCCTCCTTTTTTGGAGATCGGGCCCAGGTGCAACGACTTGCTCCAGATCCCACACGAAGCAAGTGGCAGCGCTGGGATTCCATCTCAGGTTCGCTCACTACTCTATCTCGCCAGGATGGGCCTGCCCCGCGGGCCGCACCAGTTCCGGGTGCGCCGCAGGAGCGAGCGCGTGCACCGGGTGGGGCGGGGAGGGACTGACCCCTCCCAGCCCCAGCGCCTTCCGCATCCCCGCCCGGAGGCCGACGGGCACCGTCCCTGTGCCGCCCCGCGCTGCTGCACCCACAGGGCCGGGCGTTGGGTCTAGCTGCGGGTAGAAGGTACTCCCCCGGCCCGGACTCCTGCCTCCACCACTCAACCCAACCCCGCGCCGCGAGCCCTGTGGCGACCCACCCATCCCGCGGCCGCCGCGCCCCGTCCCGCTCCGCCCGCAGTCCCCGCCCCTCACTTCCCCGTTCGGCGCTCCTCCCCCCGTGCCGCGCTCCATACTTGGCGATCGCTGCGGCCCTGCGTGCTCATTGGCCGAGAGCCGGCTGCGTGGGGGGCGGGCCCGGGCCGGGCCGGGGCGGGGAAGGAAGGTGGCGGCGGCCCCGCGCGGGAGGAGGGAGGTGCTGACCCGGATGTTCACTCCTGGGCACCCGGGGAAGTGGAAGCGCCGGGCCCTGCTGCGGGGGGGAGAGCCACAGACGCCGGGACCGGGACCGCCGCCGCCGCCGCCACAATGGTAAAGGCCCGACGTCCCCCTCCCCCAGGTCCGGGGGCCCCGCCGGAGCTCGCGTCCGCCTTCCCCCACCCACCCCGGGCCCGCGAAGGGTGGGTTCCCCCGGGTGGGGGAGGGGCGGGGCCCCGGAGGCCAGGTAGACACCATCCCTGCTCGCTCAGGAGGGGGCGGCCGGCCTGGGCGGCTTGGGTGGGCAGCGACCCTGCCTCCCGTTCCCAACCCCCGCCCTTGGCTCAAGCTGGGCTCCCACACTCCCCCTCTGGGGCCAGACTAGTCTCCCGCGTAGCCCAGGCTAGACCCTCCTGGACCGGTGGTCCAGGCCAAGCACCCCGTCCGGGGACCCAGGCGTAGTCCCCCTTTCTCCTCCCCATGGCCCGGGCTAGGTCCCCAGCCCCTACGGCCCAGGCTAGGCCGTCGTTTCTTCCTCCCAGGGTCCAGGCTAGGCCTCTGTCTCCCACCTACCCCCTTCTCCATGGCCTCAGTCCGGACCCCCGTTAGCCCCTTATCCATGGCTTCAACCTGCATTTGTTCCCCTGTCCTCCACGGCTTCAGCCTGAATCTTTTCTTCTCTCCATGGTCTTAAGTCTGGACACCCCCCCTCCTCCGCCCCTGGCCCCCGCCTGGACGTCACTCCCTTCCCCCCACTCCCTGGTCCGTTTCCCAGGACTTCTCACCACTCTCGGCGTAGCCTGCGTCAGCCTCACTCTGTCCGGGGCTTTACCCTTCCCCCAGGGCCCGGCTCCCTGCCCTGCCCCTGACCCAGGTGGTCCCCTCCCCTCTACCTAGGGCGAACCTTCTTTGCCGCCCCTGGAAAGTGAGAGTAGCTCTCCAGCCCGGGTGGGGATGGGGGTCCCGAGGCTGTGCCTTCTCAAGTTGGAGCGGTGCCCCTTCTGGGAGGCCGTCTGGGAGCGAGCGAGGGCAGGGCGGGCATCCGTATGCCAGGAAGGGAGCGCGGCGCTCTGCGGGCGCTTCCCGCGGCCGCCGCCTGGGTGCCGCGGGGTGCGGTGCTGGCGGAGCGTCCTGCTGGGACCCGCGGCGCCGGGGCGTGTGCGGGAGCCGAGGGATGAGGATGGGGGAGCCGCGGGACGGAGATGAACGCACAATCGCCCTTGTGAGGCCGCTGCCGTTGGGAGGCCCCCGGGCCCCGAGGCCAACAGACGGCCCAGACACAATGTACCCCAGCAGGCGCAGCCTCCCTTTCCCCCTCAGCTGTCAGCTCGTGAGGGTTGGAACTGCTGATTATGGAGGTGCCTCGGATCAGGTGAGCCAGACTCCGAGGGAGAGCTCGCTCCACTCGTGCTGTTTGTTTTGGTAATGAAGGCAGGTGCTCTGGCGGCGCTCTGACCGGTCCGAGGTTTCACCTAGGCCCCGACCAGTGAGTCCGCCCTCCCTCCACTTTGGAATCTTCTGCAGGGCAGGCCCAGCACCCAGGTTGGAAGAGCCACAGGGCTTCTGCCTCACGTGGCCAAGGCATCTTTGAAGGGTGGACTGAGATTAAGGGTGGCCACCTGCTCCTCTGGCCCGGTGCTGGCAGGTGTTTGCATGTGGACTTTGGGCCCCAAAGAGTTTTGGGGCTCTAGGTTCCTTGTTTAAGGAAGGGATGTTGCTTCTGAACTAGGGTGACTAATTCAGAGTGGCTGAGTTTTTTCTTCATGCCTTCCTGTATGTTGATGAAAAGCGTGGCCATTGTTATTGGACTTCTCCGATAGCAGTCCCAGGCCTGGGTGGGGAAGGACTTATCCAGGACAGTTTTGGGTGAGGACTTGGAGTGAGGTTTTACAAGTTTGCTGTCAGGACAAAAGCAGGGGAGGATGGTTGGGATGGCCAGGTGGGGCTGCTCAAGGCAGCATCTCTGGCGGTGGGGGGAGGGGGGAGCATCTTGCCTTGGCCCTCAGTGCCTGAGTCTCCAGACCTGATGGGAAAATGCCTGTAATGACCCAGAAGGAACAGGATGATACATGAGGCTTCTCAGGAGTCCTGTATTTGGGTCTTACCTGGATAATCTGTAAGGACTGTGGAAGGGGTGGAGGAAAAAGGCTAACTTTTCTGTGGGGAGTGGGAGCGGGGTGGGGGGGCTACTAGGTGCCAGACACTGTGCTCTGTGCTCCACTTACTTAATCCACACAGAACCCTTTGAGGGATGCTGTGTATTACCATTTCACAGGTGAAGAAGCTGAGGCTCAGGGCATGGAGGAACTTCCTCAAGATGTTGCTTAGTTGACGGGAGCACATCTGATAGGCTCTAAACTGCATCCTTTCCGTTGTCCCAGGCTGCTTATGTGTTCCTGGTGATGCAGGCTTATTTAACGTGAGCTCTTTGAGGGCAGCGGTTTTTGTCTTTTGTTTTGCATGTCTGTATCCCTGGGGCCTAGAACAGTACCTGGCACTGAAGGAAATAGCTTGGGGTGTGTCTTGAACTTAGCCACTTGGATTTCATACTCATTCTCTCAGTAACTCGTTCTTAGTATCCCCCAGGCTTATAGGTAATTTCTGACTGCTTATTGTTCAGTTTATCCCCTACTTGAATATTCTGTCTAAGAAACCAGTGTAGACAGTTGGAGTAGGACAGAAGTGGTGGTGTGGGGTTGCATAATAGGTAAATGTATTAAAACCACTGTGGTTTTATTTTCAGTAGGGTTGATGGTAGAGAAACCAGCTAGATCTCAGTTATCCATCGAGGGAAATAGCAGTTTGAGAGTCTAAAGTGCGCTGGAGAAAAGTCCGTGATTTCTGTTGGCATCAGTTACGGATGCATAAGCAAATGGAATTTACTTGCATTCTCTTAGCAGGTAATGATCTCCCACTATCTGTAAGTGCTTTATCGTTTCAAAGCACTTTCCTTACCCAGCTCTAGCATCTAATTTAGGAATTATTGTCCTAATTTAGAGTTATGATTCTGGTGTTGGATGGTGGGGCTGTAGCATGCAGGGATGGGCCGGGCCCCCCTCATGAGTTGTCCCTCCATCTTCCAGATGGTTTGGCCTGACAAGAGATGATGGGAGAAGCCTGTTATATTGTTACAAGGTGGAACAATACAGTTGGTGTCTTGGCTGGTCTCCTGGTGTAGGTCTCCTGGTGTAGACCTCCTGGTGTAGGTCTAGACCTCCTGGTGTAGGTCTAGCTCCACTCAGACCCCACATGTATATACAGCCTTGTTTATTTAAACCCAACTGGCTGCTCTTTGGTGGAATGCTTGAACAAAGTAGCCAACGATCCATAGCTTGAGATTAAAGAGATGCTAAATCATGTTTGTTTTAATAAATTTATTTATTTTAGTTTTGGCTGCTTTGCGTCTTTTGATGCTGCGCACTGGCTTTTTCTCTAGTTGCAGCAAGCAGGGGCTACTCTTTGTTGGGGTGCACGAGCTTCTCATTGCGGTGGCTTCTCTTGTTGCGCAGCACGGGCTCTAGGCGCGGGGACTTCAGTAGTTGTGGCACGCGGGCTCAGCAGTTGTGGCTCGCGGGCTCTAGAGCGCAGGCTCCGTAGTTGTGGCGCACAGGCTTAGTTGCGGTGTGTGGGATCTTCCCGGACCAGGGCTCGAACCCGTGTCCCCTGCATTGGCAGGAGGATTCTTAACCACTGGGCCACCAGGGAAGCCCTAAATCGTATGTTTGAAAGCAGATATTCCTATTTATAACTCAGAAGTCCTGTTCTTCTTTTACATTCCTTGGGGGAGGGGAGAGGGCAGATGACTGACAGCACAGGGAAATGGTGGCTGTGCAGGTACTTTGAACATTGAGACTCCTGCTTCCCAGGCTGCGAAACTCTTGGCATTAGGCAAAGACAGTGGTGTGTTAGGAGTTGCTTGAAGCTCATGGGTGTATTTATGAAGTGCCTTCTCTGTGCTGCCCTATGTGCTCAGGACAAGGAAGCCTGGTAAACAAGGCAAACCGGTCCACGCCTTCACAGCTTATGTTGTTTGGCAGGGAGACGTGTCACTCTTACCTACAGTTTAAGGAAGCAGAGCCTTGTTTAATGCAACTGCAAGCACACTTGGTTGAGATAACGCAGGAGACTTCAGAGAAAGTTGGGGCTTGTGCCCGGCTTCAGCCCCGGCCTTGAGGAGCACGCCTGCCCTTGTTTGGCCGCCACCACGGAGGTGAATGGCACTGCACACGCGGTCTGTCCCCTGCAGACCAGAAGCTCTCCCAGCCGGGAAGGTTTGTGCCACAGAAGTCCTGCCCTTCTCACCTGGGTAGCTACCATTGATTGAGGATCTACCGTCATCCAGAAACCTGAGGTAGGACTTAGGTCCTACCCCACCCCATGATGGATGCTCGAAAGCTTGAGTGGCTGGTGTGAGGGGCGGGCCTGGGACTTGGCTCTGGATCCCCCCAACTCCTGTGCCGGAGGCTCACTCTGTTTCTCAGAAACAGTGAGAAGTAAGGCTCACAGTACAGGCTCTTGTCCCATTTCTCCTGGAGGCAGATCCCACCAGTGAGAGTGGGGTGTGGAAGTCCAAAGGGTACAAGATCACCCACGTTAAGACCAGCGAGAGTATTGCCATTTCCAAACTAAGTCTTTTAGAGATCAACGCTCTGGTGTGAGGACGTGGAGCCTTGCCTGCTGCCATGAGCTCCGGCATCGCGTGCGAAGTTAGGACTTAGGAGCCAGACAGCCTTGGGCTAATAACAGTACCTCCTCATAAGGCTGTTATGAGGATTAAATGAGATAATACTTGTCAAGTGCTTTGAATAGCATCTGGCACATAATTATATGTGTAGTGACTATTATTATCACCATTTACAGATGAGGTTCAAAGGGTAAGTGGATAGTCCCTTTATAGCTACTAAGTTGAGGAACTGGGTTTTCTGACTTCAGAAGGAGACCCGTTTTCTCCACTGCTTACTGCCTGCTGAAGGAATATTTGGAGTTTGCTTGGCTTTGGGCTGTGTCTTGAATGAAGAAAGTCCCTGATAGAGCCAGAGGCTCTACTCCACCACAGAAGACAAGGCTCCCTGTGCTGTGGACACCACGTGCTGCTGTAGCCTGATGCTGTATCT